GAGGACCTGGCCGCGCTGGAGCGGCTTGTCATGAGCCTCATTGGCCACGCCAAGATTGTCAAGGCCAACGATGCTGCCCTAAACGAGCGATTCAAGATCTCCACCTGGCCGCGTCTCCTCGTCTCTCGCGATGGGAAGCCATCCTACTACAACGGGCTCTCGCCGCGCGACATGCGCGACTACCGCCGCCTCCTGAACTGGATGCAGTCCGTGTGGCTTCCCATTGTGCCCGAGCTGACAGCGTCCAACGCCAACGAGATCATGCGCGGCAAGCTTGTCGTACTGGGAATTCTCTCACGGGAGCGACCCGAGGAATTTGCATCGGCAAAGCGCGAGATTAAAAACGCAGCGCTCGAATGGATCGACAAGCAAACGCAAGCCTTCCAACTGGAGCGGCAGGAGCTGCGGGACGCAAAACAACTACGCATCGAAGAGGCCGAAGACCGCAATGACCAGCGGGCCCTGCGAGCAGCCAAATCCATCCGCATCAACATGGACGACATCGAGCGCAAGGAAGTTGGCTTCGCGTGGGTTGACGGCGTTTTCTGGGAGCGCTGGATCCGCTCAACCTTTGGAATCTCGGTCCAACACGATAACGAACGCGTCGTCATGTACGAACACGACCAACACCGCTACTGGGACAACACCATGACCGGTAACCCCATCGTCCCAAGCAGAACCTCCATTCTCGAAACCCTCCCTCGAGCGGTCAGCTCCCCGCCAAAAATCTCACCGAAACGAACAACCACAGCCCTCGGGCACGTCTGGTGGGTCCTCCGTGGCCAGCTCACCAGCCATCCCCTCGTCAGCGCCGGCCTCGTCCTAGCCATAGCCGTCGCTGTTTTTGTCTCGATAAGAAGATTACGTCCCACCACCGTGCCGGGTGAGGATCTCGCGACCGCGAACGGACTCTTGGGAAACTGGGAGAAGAAGGATTGATTAATACCTAGTCTTTAATGTTTGGCGTTTTTTTTTTTTTTGTTCATTGTTAAGCGGGCTTATTTACGGTTAATGATACGCATTTTTCTAGCATCATTATTTGATACACCGTTTCCGCTTGCAATTCTGTTTAGCTAGGGGGTCCCTTTATGATACGTCCAAGGATCGGATGTCCAGGGCTCGTAATCTGTTCGGCACAGCTTTATTCCCCCTCATATCAGCTTTGAGAGTACCTGAGGTATAGGTAGGTGATTTTGTTTGAGGGCTAGGCTGGGCGCTACCGAGGGAGGTTGACCGTCCCATACACCTTCTCGTCCTTTCTAGGATCAACAGTTTGTTCTAATGTCTTAGAATAATGAGCATGTTCTTCCGAGTGCTTAGAGTTGGTGAGAACAACGACTCCACCACCGGTACCATCGTCTTGTCGTGTTTGTCGTACGCGTCCATTGCCATAGGCCAGATTTTAAAAAAAAAGTTTTCTTCGAGCTGGCCTTGCAGTTGACAGCAGCAATGGGTTTGGTAGGATGATGGCGCGGACGTGATCACCGGGAAAGGAAGGTCTCGTCCGCAGGTTTACCATTGCGAATTCGGAAAACGCAAATTCGGTTTAGAGGATTATCCGTTTTGACAACTCAATCCGAAACATGGGTTGTTGGAGTGCCCGTCAGTATTTCAACTCCGGCAGTTCGCTCTTCCATGAAACCATGTCGTTGATAGACGTGAAGGTAATGAATGGAAAAATATTCCCTCAAAAGATGTAACACCAACTTCCGAAGACGTTTGTAGTGTTGAGGGCTGTCAGATGACAAACCAAGTGGGCCGCGTCGAGCATGTCACTCCTCGACTACATGGGAGGGGTTTCGTTCAAGTGTGCTTCAGCAGCTTTAACGAACCGATAAAGAGTTTCTATATGCTGCGTGTGTTGTTAGCCAATCACTAAACAAGGCGACGAGCGGGGGTGTGAGTAGCCAATAACAGCGCAAGGCGTACTTGCATGTGAACATCACCCCTCCCCCCGCACCCCTGCTTGCACAACGGAGCGCATCCTTTTTAAAAATTAGTTGGACAAGCGGCGGATGTACATACTAGGTGGAACCAGGCGGGGAAGAGCATAAACTGGGTGAGGACTGAGTGAAGACGATGCATGCACTCTCATGGTCGCCAAAGCGCTCGACATCGGAGACACTGTGGAAGAGATTTGCAGATTGAATAGACGAATGATTCTTTGGACCGAGAGGCGCTGTTGAGGGTTAACTGGCCTCGATCGCATGAGCTTCGGTGCCACCGTTCGGCAGCGTCTTACTCTGTACCAATTAACGCAACGTCTGTCGCCCATGACGAACCAGCAGGGCCGCCCACTTTCGCTTTCTTTGACGGCGGATCTGCTATGTCTGTGGAATCACTTGACTGTTGCAGAAAGGCAGAGATTATCTCTCAAGATCCAGAGTGTTACGCCACACTAAGGAACTGAACGCGCAAGAAGCCAACCCTGTCGGTATCTGGCATCCTCTAACAGAGCTTTATGGCCTCGAGGATCTCAACTCACATCGGGCCCTTTCGTACGAGATTCTTCACTCACTCCTTTTGGGGGCTGTGATATATCTCTGGCAGGACACCGTGAATGTGGTCCTCATGGAAGATCACCTGTGAGGGATCGCTCGGTATCTTGACGCAGGGATCCGAGATGTGTTCACCAATCACATCTCCCCCGGATATTGGACAATCTCCTGCTGTATCTTCACCCCACTCGCGATCTATCCATCTGCTATAACAACGGTGGAGAAGTCAATCTTACCCAATGACAACGGGGAGAGCAGAGGCCGGAAGCGTTAGAGTTAGATGATGACACAGTTGCCACAGAACTTACTGGGTGCATTTCCATTTTTAGAGGTGGACCAATGGAATGGAAGTCTACTAACTGCAGCTCGCACAGCGGAAAACCTGCTCCAGCCAGAAATGATCCTAACACGTATGGGAAACAGTAGCCCGAGCGATATTAACTACTTAAACAAATGCCTACAAGTACGTCCGATGCCCATCCGTGAGCGATAGTATGTACAACTAACGATAAATTCACAGCAACCGACTTGCGTGGTGACTACATCTCGTAATGTGGCGAACCGATTTTCTCTTGTTGAAGGCAAATTGATGATTTTACACGGCGCTCTTTATTCTAGACACAAAGCGGCCAGTGAAAGACGTTACCTGCGGCCTCTGGCTGAAGTTTTAACAGGGAACATGTGGCTGTCGATCCCAGTATATGGCCTACTGTTGAGAGAGACGCAGATCGTCCTCAAGGAAGCTCGTGAACTTAAGACCATAGTGGCAGTTCAGGCTGAACATGGTAAGCTCCCGGAACTCCTGGACTGCGTCAACAAGGTGAGCAAGCACTGCGAAATCTGCGATCGACCGTTGGAAACAACTCAAAAAACATGATATTAGGAATGGCGGAAGCTCCTGCGCCAAAAATTTACCTAGGAGCCTTACGATCGCGGGTGCATCGCCGAGTGGCGGTAAGTCAAGCGGTTGCGATGCATCCGTACCACAGAATGATAACGTGTCCTTGCAGGAGCTGTTGGTGTCTGGCAACGTCCTCGGCGAGATGCCAAGTAGTGAAACTTTTGCCTGGATCGGTGTTGTCCGCAACGAAGTCCGCTCAAATGGAAGGCGTCTCGAATGTATCAAGCTGCCAAATCAGGGCCCAGCCCAAGCTCAGAGCTGTATGCCGATACAGAGACAGCCTCCGGAGATAACATCTTCTGGAGGTCGCTCTACTTACCGATGGAGTCCGTCGAGAGATACTAGAGGAAACATGTTTACACGATCATTGGATTAAACCATAGATATAAGACTTTTGCTGGCTTCTCGAACGCTCCTTAGCCAGTCTTTGGGGCAAGAGCCTTTTATGTGGAAGACAAGATTTACTCATACAGTACGAGCCGCAGCAAATTATGACATTGTCGATTTAGCAATCTCGCGAGATCATGTTTGAAAGAGGACATACATCTGATTGTATGAAACCTAGGATGGCGTAGCATGACGTTACGCCTTGATGTGAACTGAACAGTCTATCGGTCTGTCTCAGTCATACTATCGTTCTATAAGGGGGGTGAGAATAGTTTTTCTGGAATACCAAAACCATTAGAACGCTCCGCCAATTCACAGAATAACCTACGGCCAAGAAGAAAAAGACCGTTCACCGTTGGAAAATAGCATACGAGATTGCAGGTCTGTTGAACTATCCTGCAGGATACGGGAGACGACGCTATTCCACAATCCGCTCGAAGGCCTTTGATAACCTCCTGTTGGATCCAGACTAGCTCAACTAGATCCGGGATTATCACGACGACATGGATAAATACAGCATGGTGGCCATATATTACCATCAACCCCCGAATTGAGAGCATTGGTGATCGCTGGTTTCAAATGATCATTCCTCTCTCGGGATACTCCTGTATAGATGAAACTGAACTTCGTCTTATTGTCTCATCTTCACACCTCCCATCCTGTATCCCTCGTTCCTCAGAACACGTTCAATCATTAATCCCCTCGTATTTGCACAATCCCTTACCAAAAAAGGTGGCATCCCAGGTAGACCTACCTCTCACTATACTGTCTCTAACTTACGCAACCTATCCCGCAAGTAGACCTTATTATTCCCCAAATTCACGAGCAGGTAACCATCTCCATGAGAGTGTCGTGACATGCTTAATTAGAATAAACCACCAGTTTCAATAAGGGGTTTCTAGCTTTTACCCACAATGCAGTGGCTGGGTCGTTTTGATCATTTGTGCACTTTCGGCCCCACTCCCTTTCCTAAAAGCGTGTGCAGCCAAATCAATGTCAAGAGGTGAATATTCTAAATTACGTCAAGAGTTGGAAAGTCGAGATTGATGAGATCTAAGACTGGTAAAGTGGGGTCACTAATAAAAAACAGGGTTGGTAACCGAAAAAAATGGGCCCTGCCTTTCCACATGCATAGATTTGGGGTCCAACATGGTATAGACAATGGGAAAGCATTGAACAGGCTGAAAGGTCAAAAAGGAGAAAAAAAAAATAGTCGACACCTGCAGGATTCGAACCTGCGCGTCCGAAGACACTGCCTAAACCTAATCGCTTTTCTATGACTAGCAGGGCAGCGCGTTAACCACTCCGCCAAAGTGTCTTCTCGACAAGAAAGAGTTGGATTTGACTGAATATATATTGTATGTGTAAAGGGGGCAGACTGAGTTGCATTGATTGCCCAGCATGCGCCACTGGTTTGGCCCGGAAGTCTGGATGCTATCTGCAACTACGATAATAGGAAAAGTCGTTGGACATGCCTGTCCAATCTATCTGGGCGGGTTGATTAGTAGTAGTTCCCAAATCGTCCATCATGGTGCCATTCCATTGCATTGGCGTAAAAGGATTGGGAAAGATATAAATGAGCAATGCACAGGTCAATGGTTGCCAATGATTTCCCTGCAACGTACCGTCGTGCAGAGGCAGAGTTTTGCGTGGTGGAATCGACTCAAACACTAGTGGATTTGATGAGTCTTGAGGGTCAGTCTTCGTGTTGACGTTCGCGATCCCGTCTTCCATTTTCCCACCCACAGTCGCCCTCAATTTTCATTTCCCCAACATCCAACTTGGCAACTGCACCGTTGAAACCAACTTTGACGAAGATGCACAGCGTCATGAGGTTTGAGGTCGGCAATAACAGTGACGGCGATGGTGCGTCCCTCCTCCCGTCCGCTGGCATTCAGATATCTAACATCGGAGCTAGATACCTATTGTCCTGGTGTAGAGACGAAACTCGTACGCAACGACGACATCTGGATGAAGGGCGTTGTAGGTAAAGAGATGTGATCAAGAACCTTCCGATCGATCGCGACCACCAATACACGCTGAACAAGCTGCCTGCGGGATATGCTGAATTCAAGGAAACAGGCAACGGAACCATTCTCCTGCATGGACATCCTTCGGGCAAGGTTTTCCGTTTGTACACGCAGTTCGACCTCCATTTACGGTCGCTAGGAGACACTGTGATCAGTGTCCGTGTGATCAGTGTCCGTGTGATCAGTGTCCGTGTGATCAGTGTCCGTGTGATCAGTGTCCGTGTGATCAGTGTCCGTGTGATCAGTGTCGGGGGATGAGAAAGGCCATGCCGGCCGGATTGAAGCCAAATCCTTCCTCGTTGTCTCGTAATCAGTCAACGCTGCCTTCGTCGCAACCGGAGCTGATCGGGCGTTCTGGATTGGATCATGTTTACCATGAGCTTTACAAGAGACCAGGCATGATGAAGGGCTGTATGTGTGTATTATGCAATGAGAACGAAGAGGACAAGGCAACAGACCACCAGGTGCAGTGTAAAATACTCACCTGATGAAAGTGTGCGCTAGCAATATCGGCTTCTCGGCCCAAACATATCATCCCAAGTTTCAACTACTGTATGCGTGATGAAAACCTTTTATTCTGCAGCCGTTAATCATCGACGTCATCTTCATCTTCAACGCCATCGCACACTTGCCAAAATGCGCACCATCAGCGCCAAGAATGCAGCCGCACTCGATGAAGAGCTCATGTCTTCTGGACAGTTCAGCATAGACCAGCTGATGGAGCTCGCGGGCCTTTCTGTAGCTCAGACAATGTACACATTGTCCCCGCCCAGCAAGTCGCAGAAGATCCTCGTCGCCTGTGGACCCGGTAATAATGGGGGCGATGGCCTAGTCGCAGCCCGTCACCTTTTCCACTTTGGCTACAAGCCAGCTGTCTACTACCCGAAGCAAAGCTCCAAAGACATTTACACTCATCTGCGCGCTCAGCTGGAGCAGCTCAATGTGCCATTTGTCGACGAGTTTTCCGGCCAAGGGTATGATTTTCTCATTGATGCCATCTTTGGGTTTTCCTTCTCCGGTGAGGTCCGCGACCCTTTTAAGCAGGCTGTTGCGGGATTGGAAAAGGCGGGAGCAAAGGTGCTTGCTGTTGATGCTCCATCGTCGTGGAACATCGACCACGGCCCACCAGAGGATGGCCTTGGAAAGGACTACATGCCTGCCGCCCTGATCAGCCTCACCGCCCCCAAGGCCTTAAGCAAGTTCTTCAAGGGTAGGCACTTCGTAGGCGGCAGGTTTGTCAGCAAGGCCATGGCGGACAAGTACGACTTTGATGTGCCTGATTACAAGGGCTGTGATCAGTTTGTAGAGCTCTGAGAGATGGCTCCACGGATATGGGTAGACATTCCATCTCGCCTACTGAGATTTCTATCTCCGAGTCTGCGCTAAGTAGCCTTACGTAATCCACACCTCCAGTGCACGTTGCCTTCCTCCCAGCACGGCCATGTCGGCAGCAGTCTGGCCAAACCGGGCGCTCCGACGCGGCCTGCAGCAACAATGGCGGAGACATCAATCGACGCGTAACACACGGAGCAGTAATGCGCGATTCTACGGCTATAGCGCAGTTGCCGCGCTCACGTTCGGCGCCGGCTTGTTCTACATTAGCGATGCGCGAGCAAGTGTACACAGATGGATTGTGATGCCTGCAATGCGCATGGCATATTCTGATGCCGAAGATGCGCACCGCGCCGCCATCCGCTTTCTCTCCGGGCTGTGGGTAGTGGGCCTCTATCCCCGCGAGAGAAGCGGCAGCAAGAACCAGGACATCTCGGTCGAAATCTTTGGCCACAGACTATCCAATCCCTTGGGCATCAGCGCGGGGTTTGACAAGAACGGAGAAGTGCCGGACGCGTTATTCGCCATCGGCGCCTCTATTGTCGAGGTTGGTGGCGTAACGCCCGAGCCGCAAGAGGGAAATTCAAGGCCGCGCGTCTTCCGTCTGCCAGATCTAAATGGGTTGGTAAACCGATATGGCCTCAACTCGGACGGGGCGGACATAGTGGCCATGCGCCTCCGCGAGCGAGTACGCCGCTACGCCCTCTCACATGGCTTTGGCCTCGACGAGCAAATTGTCATCGATGGCAAAACATCCGTACCGCCGGGGAGCCTTCAGCCTGGAAGGCTACTTGCCGTGCAGATCGCGAAGAACAAGACCACGCCAGATGGTGACGTGGACGCCATTGCGGCCGACTACGTGCGCTGTGTGCAGAAACTGGGCGTATACGCCGACATCCTTGTGGTGAATGTCTCATCGCCCAATACCCCCGGGCTACGGGATCTGCAGGCTGTGAAGCCCCTCACCGCAATCCTCACAGCCGTGGTCAAGGCCGCGGCCGCCGTTCCCCGTGAGGGTTCCAAACCTGCCGTCATGGTCAAAGTATCGCCGGATGAATCCTCAGACGAGCAGGTGGATGGAATCTGTACCGCCATTCGCCAGAGCGGCGTTGATGGCGTCATTGTAGGCAACACAACCCGCTCACGTCCCCCCGCGAGGTCGCAGTCGGAGAGCAGACTCCTCAGCGAGGTCGGCGGCTACTCCGGGCCGCAGACGTTTCCCCGAACGCTCGACCTCGTGAGGAGGTACAGCAGAAAACTCCAATTGCCGCCTGCTCCTGCTCCGGCGGCGTCCCTTGGGCCAATTACAGCTCCACCTCAGAAGGACGGTGCGAAGGGTTCCAGAGACGACGGTATAGACCCTCCGCAAGACAAGGAAGTGGTCATCTTCGCTTCCGGCGGCATCACAGATGGGAGACAGTGTCTCCAGCTGCTGAACGCGGGCGCAAGTCTCTGTCAGCTTTACACGACTATGATGTACAACGGCGTCGGCACTGTTGCGAATATGAAGCGGCAGATCAGGGATGCTGTTTATAAGGAATAGACGTTAAGGGACGATGACATCTTGCTATGATACCTTTTCTCTTCCAGTTTATGTATTCGATCCCCTCTTGTGTAATGATATCCACACTCTAGATTGGCATAATGCTGATGCGAGTATCTTGACTGTGGAGACGTCATAGGAGTCTTTTGCTTTCGAACGATGGAGGCAAATAATGTTATTCTCCGAACTACTACGCACAAGAACGTCTCTGGAACGTCTTGTTGAAGTTGCTGCCAAAGAAAAAACCGCGCAGTTTGCGCTCTTGTAGAGCTGAACTTGGTTAAGCTGACAGAGTAGTTCGCTAGCTAGGAGTGTATTTGGAAGCTAATTGAATATCCTGTGGCTAAGCAGCAAACAACACACGCGGCTGAACAAACAAATAAATCGATAGCATATGATAGCAGCTACCCTTGCATGTCGCTTTATCGTTATCTTGCATTTTTATCAATCAGTCGAAACAGTCGACGATTAGAACGTTATCTCACTGCTTCATTTAATGGCCGTTGCCAGGGAAATGTAACCTGCTTAATCTCACTCGGAGGCTCAGGACAGCTATGCGATCTTAGCAGAATGGCTGCGCCGTGTATACAAGCTGTCGGTGGCTCAACTGAAAAAGCCATATATGCGCACAATGGCATGGAAACAAAAGCATCCATCAACAGCAAGGCCCTCTCAACAAGATCTCAACGTTGAGTGTTGAGGACTCTAAACTTTTCAACCTTGCCAATGCAGGAACGCGGAAAGTTCAGCGAGAATAGAGATCTGCAATGCACATGCCCCTCGCAACGCCACCATGCCTCGACCCGGAAACGCAAAAGCACTCTCCCTTTTGCTGTGTCCCTTGCGGGGTTTGATGGATGAACGTGGCTTTCTTTTTTGCCGGTAGTAGGGATACGACATTTTACCATGTGATACGACACAATCAAAATGTCGGTGGGGGCACGTGGTTGGGATGCGCAGGGTCTGTTCAGGGATCTGTGCAGGGGTTTGCAATGTGGCTTTTGCTTTTGGTAAGTCAGATAAGGTGCGGTGGAATGAATTATATACCTAACCTATGGTATCAACAATAACAAAAGTCCTTCGCTATGCACACGCTTTTCTATACATCCAACCCGTCATTACATCGTAGAAAATGAGGCCCCGTCTTACTGCTCCAGCTTAACAGCAAGGCCACTCCACCAGCGACACCTTTGGACCTGCGCGTCGGGAACCTTCTCCATTCCCGTCACGTCGTGTTGGAATTTCATGCGCTGATTCTCATTTTGTGGTGTCCACGCATTCCACATTGGCGCGCCATTTGCGCGGTACGTATTGGGGTCGTAGGTGCGGATGAATGAGGTCCAGTAAGCTTGTGTGACGGCGACAATGGGATTGTTGACCCCGCCAGAATAGTAGCTCTGCGGCGCTCCGCCG